TGGGCGAGGAGCAGCTGTGTCAGGAGCTGCCCCAGCACTCGTGGGACAGGCCCTGCGCTGGGAGACACGGGGGGGGGTGCGCAGAAACTCCCGCGGGGAGAAGGGAGACAGGTGCAGTGTCCTCAGACCCCGCAGAGATGCTGGGGGCTCTGGACAGTGATCCCTTCTTAGCTGGATTCCACAAGCTGAGTGGTCAATCCTGGGCTCGTGGCTCATGATGGGCAGCCAGCCACCCCTACAGGACGGAGGCCCTACCTGGGTGACCGTGGAGGGCTTCCTAGGCAGGCTTCACCCCCACCCCATCGAGCCCATTGCCCCCTCCCAGCGGCCTGCTTCCCACTAACACCTCATTGTCTCAGGAAGCGGATGCAGGGGACCACGCTCTGGCGTCAGGCTGGTGGGGACTTGGGGACAGGGCAAGTCTGAGGACTGTGTCGGTGCTTTGGTCACCCTGCAGGGGTCCCTTCCCCTTTGGAGTCAGACAATCAGGCCTACCTCGTGGGGCGGTGCTGATGCTGAGGACTCGGGCCTGCCTGAGTGCTTGGGGCCTGGTGGTTGAGTGTGGGCCAGCCTCGCCTGTCCTCCCCCCACCCTTGCCACTCCTCCCCTTCCTTCCTCTTGGGACCCCCTCCCTCCTGCGCTTCTGCTCATCTCTGGGTGGCAGCCCCCACAGGGCTGACCGGTCCCTGCTCCTTCCCTCCCGCTGCAGCCCCGGGGTAGACACGAAGCCTGGCAGGACAGGACGCCGTGGTGCACACCTGCCTCATTTCCACGGGGGGCGACAACCCGCTGCGGGCGCTCAGGTCACACACCCAGGCTGCCACTCGAGGCCCTGGGCCCAGCGGTGGCAGCGGGCACCTCCGCGCAGGGACGCCCCGCCCGCGTGTGCTGGGGAGCCCCGTGCTCCCTGGGGAGCGCTGAGTGGGAACACCATGACACACTGATACTATAAACCGAAAATAACTAAACCTCCCGTCCTGTGCTGCAGCCGACCCCAAATCAGGTGCGAGCCCGGCGGAGGCAGCGGCGGGCACCCGGGACATCATCCAGTGTGTTCAACACTCACGGTTGAGGAAGGGCTTTTGTGGGGCCTGGGGGCAGGGCGCTCACACCTTCCAAGGACTGGAGCCACCCCGGCCCCCGAGCCTCTCCACGCCCATTGTGCCCGCCCCTCCCCGTGGGTCCAGAACTCAGAGCCCACGGACTTGGTGCCTAGGCCTGAGGGTGAATGAATTCCATTTGGGAAGCCCTAAAAGTGGTTTAAAGATACCTTTTTTGAATGCGGCCTGGGGAGGCACAGTGCCCCCTGGCCTCCCTCCCCAAGCCCACTCGCAGGTGGCCCCAGGCCCCTCCTGTCCCCCCCCCCCCCCCCCCGCAGTCACCCATCCCATCCTGAGCCCCTCGGGACGGCCCCACAGTGAGGCCTTTCCCATAGATCCTTCCAGCCCCGGTGGAACTCCTCGCCAGCCCGACCAGGTTTGAGAATCTTGGCTTTCTAGCTGGGGAAAGTCCGTTTCTGTCGTGGGCTCCCTCTGGGAGCCTGGAGTCCTCCCCTCGCCGCAGAGTGCGGGGAGTAGACCAGGGAGGCCCGGCCTCGCTGAGGTCACACGGTGGGGAGGCTGGGAACCATGTGGGGCCAGTGTGGGGAGCCCCGGGTCCTGCCCCGGGACCACTGTGGGGCCAGGGGTTCTCTGGCTGTGCCGGGGTCTGAACACTGTGCCCGGGCCTGGCTCCTATGCTGGCTGCCCACCTGCCTGCCTTGGACGTTTATTCCTTTTGTATTTATTGGTCCAATTTTTAAACTCCTGCCCTTGTGGGAAGCCCTTCAGGGGGTAGGGATCCAAAATAAAATGCTGATTAAAATGCATAAAACACTTCTCCTTTGCAAGCGCGGGGCTAACCAGCAGGACCCGCGGCACCGGGAGCGCAGGAGCAGCACGTTGCCCGCTCAGCAGTTGGGGTGACCCTGCAGACGTGGCCCTGTCCGCCCCGAGACGGCAGCGACCCTGTAGGGAGGCTCGCCGTGTGCTGTGTAGCTGCCGCGCCGGCTGGGGCAGGCATCTTGACTGCTCCCGGCCTCAGTGTACCCCCGGAGGGACAGCCGCATGAACAGGGTGAAGGATGAGGATGTGCCCTCCGGGGCGGTCTTGGTCCTGCACAGCGGGACCTGTTCTGAGGGTCTGACTGCCAGGTTGGGGGGGCGGGGACGGCAGCCACGCAAGGCAACGCCAGTCAGCTTTTCCATAGTATTTGAATTCCCCGGGCCTCTCACCGCCCACTCAGGGGCCTCGGCCCTGCAAAGACTCTAGTGGACACCCTGTGGGGTTTTTTAAGATTTTATTTATTTATTCATGAGACACACAGAGAGAGGCAGAGACACAGGCAGAGGGAGAAGCAGGCTCCACGCAGGGAGCCCGACGCGGGACTCGATCCTGGGACCCTGGGGTCACGCCCTGGGCCGAAGGGAGGTGCTCAACCACTGAGCCACCCGGGTGTCCCTACACCCTGTCTTTCAGAGAACATCCCAGGGGCTGTTCTGTGAGACAGAAGCACCCACGGCTAACCCAGGATTATACGTGGAGGCGCAGCGCCAAGTGCAGAGGCTTGCGAGCATATTTCCTTCTTTGTTCTGGTTGCCAGGAAGCTCACCCCTCCACCATTACGCAAGATGTCGTGGCATTCTCTCCTCGCGGGCTTCCCTTATCTTTTTATCACCTTGTGGCATAACATCTTCTGTCAATGGGCCCAAGTTATTTTTAGAAGGAGGGATGTGCTCGATAGCAGTTCCATGATGTTGCTAAGGAGCATAAGGTGCCTCCGTGTTATAGGAAGGGGAAGATTTCTGACTGCGTGGGTTACGGACGGCTTCACTAAGAAGGTGGCCTTTGGGAAAGGAGGTCACGAAGGCCGCTGGGCCTAGAGGCCGGGAGGGTTCTCCAAAAGGAGGTGGTGCAGAGCCAGGAGCAGCTGAGGACACCTGGGCAGCGTCACAGGGCAGACTGGTGGGAGGCAAGGCGGTGGTGGGCTGAGTGCCTTATTCTGGTGTGTGCGGGGCTTCCCCACATCTCCGGTGGCCGGTGCCCCCTCACCCCAGCCTCCTGCAGCCCCCACTACGCCCACCGGCCCGGTCCTGAGCTGGAGGCTGGGAGCCCCACCTACGTCTCCCACCCCCCACCCCACCCCGAGCCAGCCCCAGCTGCCGGCCCAATTACTTATTGATCGCCTGTCAGGATGTTTGCTTTCCTGGTGGCTCACTGGAGCGTGTGTGACTGTTGAAAATGGCCTGGCTGGGGGGCGGGGGGGAGGCTGAACCACGGAGCCTGGAGAGGATGAGAGGGGCTGAGAGCAGGGGGGCCAGACAGAGATACTGGGGATGACAGGACCTTGCAGATGCCAGAACATGTCAGTGACACCCAGAGGCCTCTCTGGTTAATTAGTCACCTAGTCGATCAACAACCGGAGAGCACCTGTCAGTCCTGGGAGACCGCTGGAGCCCCAGTGGCCAGAGCTCTGGTCCCAGATCCACCCCCTTCTACAGGCTGGGTGTCCTTGGGCAGCCCCGATGGCCGGGGGTAGAGCTGTGGGGCTCCCCTTCCTGCGGTGAGCACCATCCCCCCCCGCCCCCCCCGCCCAGCACCATGGGTGTGGGTGTGTGTTCCAACTATAGTCCGGCCTCTGGAGACCATGTGACCCAGGCCCTGCAGTGTGGGGGAGTCCAGACCAGCCCTGCTGCCCCCTACGCACCCTGCTGGGCCCGTTCTCCACAGGACGGAGCAGAGGGGGGGATGGGGGGCAGAGCAGCCTCTGAGCCCAGCTGGCAGAGGGTCACGGGGGCGGCCCCTGCACACCCCTTGCTTACCCACCTGCAGCCTGTACCTACAGCATCGCCCTTGTCACCGCCACCCAAGCCCCCGTCACCTCACGGTCCAAACCCAGCGCCTCGTGGGCCAGACGGTGCCTCCGGCTGCCGGGCTGTGGGGGGCCATGGGACGCTCCAGACCAGCAGCAGCCCGGGGCCGGGGCTCTGGGAGGAGCGTGACCCAAACCCCAAGAGACAGATGAAGGCTGGTGGTCCTCGGAGAGGAGCGTGCTTCCCGCCAAGGGTCAGAAAAACCTTCTGGGAGCGCTGGATGCTGGGGTCTCGGCAGCAGGCACAGGGGCGCTCCGGGAGGAGGGGCCGCGGGGACTGAGGCCTGAGCTCTGGGGCCCGGGCGGGTCATGCTGGACGCAGAGGAAGGGAGAGGTGGGGGCACTCTGCAGGGAGGCACCAGGTGCCCGGCTTCCTGGCCGGGGTGCCCTCTGCTGACCTGGAAAGCCCACCAGGGAGCAGATTCCTGGCTACGGACAGGTGCCACTGGGTCGAATGATATCCTGGGGCTCCCGGGTGGGGGCTCGGGCAGGGCTGGCGAGGAGAGGGCTGTGGTGTCTGTGCCCGGGGAAGCGGAGGCTGACGGGGTGGCCCCAGCAGCTCGGGGGCCCCAGCCTGGCAGGTGGGGGACCAGACTGGCTCCGCCTTAGGCTCTTCTCGGAGGCTTCAGCCTTTGAGCCCCTCTGATCCCATCTGTGAGCCCCAAGGGCAACTCAGCAGGTCTGGCTTCATCCCTGTGAGCACCGGGGGAAGCTGAGGTTCAGAGGGTGGGTGGGGTGGGGTAGAGGGTGCGTGCATGGATCACGTCGCCTGTGAAATCATAAACCATAAAGGAGGTGCCGAGGCTAGGCTCCTCCGAGGTGCCTCTGCAGCGAACCCCTCAATCCCGGGGATGCTGGGGAAGTCCTTTTGGGGGGGCTCCAGGCAGGGTAAGGAGTACGGCAGGGCAGGAGGCCTTGCGGCCTGGGCATCCGGGCCTCACCGCAGGGTCGCAGCCGGTGCCCTGAGCCACTGTGGAGCGGCAGCTCTGTACGTGTGCCAGGGACATCCTGACGGGGTGGGGGGCCCGGGTGGGGCCAGCCAAGCACCGTCCTCTAACCACCCTGTGTCCTGTGCTTGCTCCCGGCTGCAGGTGAGCGAGAGGATGCTGGCGGGGGGCGCGAGGAGCATGCCCAGCCCCCTCCTGGCCTGCTGGCAGCCCATCCTCCTGCTGGTGCTGGGCTCGGTGCTGTCAGGCTCGGCCACCGGCTGCCCGCCCCGCTGCGAGTGCTCCGCCCAGGACCGCGCGGTGCTGTGCCACCGCAAGCGCTTCGTGGCGGTTCCCGAGGGCATCCCCACCGAGACCCGCCTGCTGGACCTGGGCAAGAACCGCATCAAGACGCTCAACCAGGACGAGTTTGCCAGCTTCCCACACCTGGAAGAGCTGGAGCTCAACGAGAACATCGTGAGTGCCGTGGAGCCCGGCGCCTTCAACAATCTCTTCAGCCTGCGGACTCTGGGGCTGCGTAGCAACCGGCTGAAGCTCATCCCCCTGGGTGTCTTCACGGGCCTCAGCAACCTGACCAAGCTGGACATCAGCGAGAACAAGATCGTCATCCTGCTGGACTACATGTTCCAGGACCTGTACAACCTCAAGTCACTGGAGGTGGGTGACAATGACCTTGTCTACATCTCGCACCGGGCCTTCAGCGGCCTCAACAGCCTGGAGCAGCTGACCCTGGAGAAGTGCAACCTGACCTCCATCCCCACCGAGGCGCTGTCCCACCTGCACAGCCTCATCGTCCTGAGGCTCCGGCACCTCAACATCAATGCCATCCGGGACTACTCCTTCAAGAGGTTGTATCGGCTCAAGGTCTTGGAGATCTCCCACTGGCCCTACCTGGACACCATGACGCCCAACTGCCTCTACGGCCTCAACCTGACATCCCTGTCCATCACTCACTGCAACCTGACCGCTGTGCCCTACCTGGCCGTGCGCCACCTGGTCTATCTCCGCTTCCTCAACCTCTCCTACAACCCCATCGGCACCATCGAGGGCTCCATGTTGCATGAGCTGCTCCGGCTGCAGGAGATCCAGCTGGTGGGCGGGCAGCTGGCCGTGGTGGAGCCCTACGCCTTCCGCGGCCTCAACTACCTGCGCGTGCTCAACGTGTCCGGCAACCAGCTGACCACGCTGGAGGAGTCAGCCTTCCACTCTGTGGGCAACCTGGAGACGCTCATCCTGGACTCCAACCCGCTGGCCTGCGACTGTCGGCTCCTGTGGGTGTTCCGGCGCCGCTGGCGGCTCAACTTCAACCGGCAGCAGCCCACATGTGCCACACCCGAGTTCGTCCAGGGCAAGGAGTTCAAAGACTTCCCGGACGTGCTCCTGCCCAACTACTTCACCTGCCGCCGCGCCCGCATCCGGGACCGCAAGGCCCAGCAAGTGTTTGTGGATGAGGGTCACACGGTGCAGTTCGTGTGCCGGGCGGACGGCGACCCGCCGCCCGCCATCCTCTGGCTCTCGCCCCGCAAGCACCTGGTTTCGGCCAAGAGCAACGGGCGGCTCACAGTCTTCCCCGACGGCACGCTGGAGGTGCGCTACGCCCAGGTGCAGGACAATGGCACGTACCTGTGCATCGCTGCCAACGCGGGGGGCAACGACTCCATGCCGGCCCACCTGCACGTGCGCAGCTACTCACCCGACTGGCCCCATCAGCCCAACAAGACCTTCGCTTTCATCTCCAACCAGCCGGGCGAGGGAGAGGCCAACAGCACCCGAGCCACCGTGCCTTTCCCCTTCGACATCAAGACCCTCATCATTGCCACCACCATGGGCTTCATCTCTTTCCTGGGCGTCGTCCTCTTCTGCCTGGTGCTGCTCTTTCTCTGGAGCCGGGGCAAGGGCAACACGAAGCACAACATCGAGATCGAGTACGTGCCCCGCAAGTCAGACGCAGGCGTCAGCGCCACCGATGCGCCCCGCAAGTTCAACATGAAGATGATCTGAGGGCGGGGCAGGGGAGCAGGGGAAGGGGCCTGGTCCTCAGTCCTTGCCGCCTCCTCCCTCCGCACACGCTCCGTCCCTCCCTCCCTCCCCCGCCCCTGCCCCCCTCCCCACCCGCCCTCCTTCCACCAGGACCTCAGCCGCCCAGGCCCGGGGACCCCGCTGCACAGGGGCACGCATTGACAGACTGGAGTCGGAAGCTGACAGGCTGACACGCACAGTCAGTAATTCAATAAAAAAAAGTTACGAACTTCCTCTGTAACTTGGGTTTCAATAATTATGGATTTTTATGAAAACTTGAAATAATAAAAAGAGAAAAAAAAACTATTTCCTATAGCTAGTCGGAATGCAAACTTTTGACGTCCTGATTGCTCCAGGGCCCTCTTCCAACTCAGCTTCTGGTTTTTCTCTTCCTCCCCCTCCCCCCCTCCTCCTTCTCTTCCTCCTTTCTCTTCTCTTCCCCTATGGGGAGGGATCACTCAGGAAAACAGGAAAGGAGGTTCCAGCCCCACCTGCCCAGGCAGCTGACACTAGCGGGCAGGGGGCGGGGGCGGGCCCAGCCCCAGGCTGGCTGTTTGCAGGGAGCAGGTGAAGGACACAGGGCTGCCTGATGGGGTGGGGGCCCTCAGCCAAGCTGCCAGGAAGCACGGCTGCTGGGGACTGGGGGCCTGGCTCGGGTGTGGCTGAGACTCTGGACAGGGGCCGGGGTCCTCCTGGAGGACAGCACAGTCGGTGGAGAGAGCCAGGGGCTGGAGGCAGGACCCGGGCCTAACTTCTGGTCCCCGCTTTGCCGCTGACTTACTGTGTGGTTTCAGACAGGTCGCTGACCCTCTCTGGGCCTCAGTCTCCACATCTGTACAAATGGAAACGTGACTCCCTGCCCTGCCTACCTCACAGGGCTGTTGTGAGGCATTGATGAGATGATGTATGTGAAACACTTTGTAACCTGTAAAGCGCTGTGCACATGTGTGGGTGACTGTTCTCACTATGGTCATTATTCTCTCACCGTGGGGGGTGGGGCTCCCGAAGGGCCGTCAGGGTTGGGGACATCCTGGGGGAGGGCCGCTCTGGGGTCTTTCCGAGGCCCGTCTCAGAGCAGCGCCCCGGCCTGGGGTCGGGAGAGTCGTGGGTTTGGGAGCAGGATCTGCAGCACTGGAGCGGACCCAGGGGGTCAGAAGCCGCCCTGCTTGTTCGCTCCAAATCGAGCCGCTGCAAACTCAGCCATGGGAAGGGCTGCCCCGGGTGACACAGTGTGAAGGGCCAGCTCCGTCACCTTATAGCTTCCCTGGATCTGTGGGCCCGGCTCGAGAAGCTGGGGCCCTAGCTCGGCCGGCACTTGGGGCACTCGCCGCCGTCTCCAGAGGCCGGGAGAGCCCCGCAGGCCTGGCTTCTCCCCTCTACCCTTCCTCTTATCCTCGGGGTCTCTGTGGATGCAGCCCCACGGCGGGCTGAGCCTGCCGCCTGGTGGTCGTCAGGTTCGGGGGGATCCAGCCACGCAGGGTCGGAGCGGCACACAGCGAGCTGAACGTGGAGGGGAAGCGGTCGGGAAGCCAGCCCTCCGCAGTGAGGCTTCAGAATGCAGCTCCTCCAGTCGGGGCTCACACATGCCCAGCCTGAGCCGGCGTGGCCCGGGCAGCTGCATGCCTAGCGCATTCTGAAGCAAGCATGCCACCCTGGTGAGGCGGCACGGTGAGCGGGTCTGGCACGGAGCTGGCCCTCGTCACCCACTCACTCATCATCTGATCCACACAGGGCCCCGAGAGCCAGCTCTGCCCCGGGCTCCCAGCTGATGCGGCCACACCACCCTGGCTCCCCTGTCCCAGCAACCACCCCACGGTGGTCCCGGGCTCCAAGGAAGCCTCAAGCCCTTGGAACTGTGGTTTTATCCCCTGGAACAAATAGGAACGTCTGCCGTTAGGATTCCGGAGCGTTGCTGTGGAAAAGGTTGTTGGTCCTTGGGGAGCAGCCTAGACTAAGTGGTCTAGGCTCCGGGGATTGCGGTCGGATCTGGGTTCCAGGTCCTCTCTGGCATTTGCTGGCTGCTCGGGATTGTTACTTGACCCATCTGAGCCTCAGTCTGCTGATCTGTCACGTAAAGATGATCTTCCTACTTTTGGTCATCGGGATGTCACAGGAAGGCAGGCAGGTGCCCGTTGATTGCTGTGGTACCTGGCTCCCAGTCAGCCTTCTGCGGTGCTGTGGATCGCTGTCCGGGCCAGTCTGGTGCAGATGCAGAGACTGAGGACCGGAGAGGGCGGTACCTTATCCAGAGCCACACAGCTTCCTAGGGCCAGGACCAGGGCGTGGGAGTTCCCGGCTCCCGGAGCCACAGACTCCTAAGCCCAGCTTCTCTGGCTCAGGCGTGGGGACCCCCACCTGGCAGGAGAATGCTCTGGGGAGCACAGGAGCAGGGACGGGAGTCCTTGGGCAAGAGACCAGTGGCATCACATGAGGCTTCGCAACCCTGGCAGGACTGCTCAGCTCCAGAGGGGCAGGTGCACAGGCTTCCCATGGCCCCAGCCCACGTCCGTGGGGGCACCGTTCTCGGGGGCCTGCCCATGGGACTGTTGCTTGACCTCTGGGAGGCCTGGGGCTTCCCTGGCTTCCTGTAAGAGCAAGAGGTACAAGGAGCCAATTTATTCTTGGCTGCTGCAGGGGAACCGGACCTCAGGAAATTCAAGGACACGAGAGAATCATGAGGTGGTTTTCAGACAGGACAGAGTCCCTTGGGGGAAGGCGAGTGCCCAGGCGGAGGCTGGGTTGGCCCAAGCACAGGCGGCCTGGGCTGCGGGACGGGGCCTCCGCCTGTTCAAGACAGCAGTGAACTCCAGTGCCGAGAGCCCCGCCAGCCAGAGGGGGAAGGGCCTGGCAGCCGGACTGGCAAAGGCAAGCGGCGGCCGTCTCTGCCCCGACCGTGGGGGGGCCTGCATCCAGTGGGCGCTGGAGCCAGGCCAGGTGGCCCGCGGCCCATGGCCAGAGGTGCAGGCGCCTCGGCCCGTGGGCGACGGCGGGAGGCCGGGCTCCATGCTCCTGGGGAGAAGGCGGAATACTGAGCCCTGCGAGTGCGGCCTGCTTCCTGGAGCCCGAGACCAGGGGCGGGAGCCCCAGGCCCACTCCTGCACAAGAGGCATGCATGCTCAGAGAGGGGGTGACAAGACGGGGAGCCGACCCCCCATGAGCAAGTGGGCGCGGGTGGGGCCGGTCCCCAGCAGGCTGATGGCTGCGAGCACCTGGGCACCACCGACGCCTCCCACCCCCGGGGCACCCCCCACAGGGGAGAACCTGGGGCTCAGAGACGGGAAGTAACCCACCCAGAGCCCGAAGCAGAGTGATGCTGGGGCGTGGGCTTGGAGTCAGGCGGACCTCGTTTCCAGTTCTCCCTGGGGGGTGGACGACAGCTGTTTGGGGGCTCTGATTACCACCGTTGGTAGCCTGGCATCCCTACGGACGAGCAAGGCAGTGGCTCTGGCCAGAACCCAGGACTGGGAAGGAGGGAACCGTGTGGGCGGCAGTGGGGAACAAAGGAGCTGGAACCACAAACGAGATTGGGGTAGAAGCCAAGCCTGGTGATGGCCTCTGATTTGCCCTTGAAGGCCTAGGGGCTCCTGTGGAGGATGGGAGCTGACCCCAGGCCATCACCGCTGATGCTTGGGACAGAGAGAGCGGCCATGCCCCAGGCCCTGAGGACAAGGCTGCACGTGCGCGTGTTGGCAGGGATGGAGGTCACAGGGAGCAGGGGTGAGGGGTCAGAGGAGCAGCAGCGTAGACCCTGGCTGGTGGGAGGAGTCCGGGAAGACTTGAGCCTTTTAGGGCCTGAAGTCAAGGTTCATGAGGTATAAGGAGCAGGGGGCAGCACAGGCCATCTGGAAGGAAGTGATTTATTGGGGCCCCCACAGAACCCAGTTCTGTGGTCCATCACCTTTCCTGCCTCCCCCCGGTTTGAGGCCCTCTGATAACACAGCGTTAAAAGTCACCCCAGCTCCAGCCTCCTTCGGGGACTGGCTCACTAGGATCTCTGAGCCCTTCATTCATGCTCCCTAGAGGAAAAAATCTGATTGGCCACCTGCCGGCCAGTGGCTTGTCTGCCCTAAGTCAGGTGCTCGTCCCCTTATCCAATTAGCTGAGCCCAAGGAACTCAGCTGCCTGAAGCCAAGTTTGGGTGAAGATGTCGTGGAAAGAGCTAAGGGATCCTATTGGTTATTTACAGCTACGTGACAACCACCCCAAAACCTAGTGGTTCAAAATAACAACAACCATTTGTTTGTTCCAATCTGCAACCTGGGCAGGGCTTGGGAGAGGCAGCTCATCCTGCTGCGCGGCGCTGATGACGGAGGCTTCGATGCCCAGCCGAGGCGGGGGAGGCCGCAAGGCCCGGGGGCCACTCTGCCTCTTGACTTCGCATGATGTCTCCAGCAGGCTGGCTGGGCTCTTTCACGGTCGCTCAGCTCTTCAGGACGGCCACACCGAAGCCGCCAGGCCTCTCGAAGCCTTGGCCAGGAATCAGGGCGAGTCGCAGGCCCTCCTCGAGTCAAGGGGCGGGAGGACAGCCCCCGGCTCTTGCTGGGAAGAGCTGCAAAGTCACAGGACACAGGGACATGGAGGATGCGAGGGTTATTGCAGCCACTTGTGGAGCCTCCACAGGGACCTCAGACATGCCTTTGTTCTCTTAGGAGCCACGCACTGGCGCAGGGGCCCCTACAGTTGACCCAGGAGGAGGGAATCAGTGAGCAATGCCGACTGCCCTCCAGATGGACGGCCAGCTGGTAAGAGCCAGGACGTGAACCAGGCTTGCTGCCCCTGGGCCAGAGTCCTTTGGAGCAGAAGCAGGAGGCAGGGTCCCCCGGGGGGAATACGGCAATAGTGATAATAATTACTGTTTGCAGGCCAGACGCTTCCCCTACATTGCCCTTTTTTTTTTTTTAAAGTAGGCTCCACACTGGGTGTGATGCCCAACATGGGGCTGGAGCCAGGACCCTGAGATCAAGACCTGAGCTGAGGTCAAGAGCCAGATGCTCAGTGGGCTGAGCCATCCAGGCGCCCCTCACCTATATGGTCTCCTTGAATCCCACCAGAGGAGGTTCTAACATGCTCCTGTTTCAGGTTCAGGGAGAAGTTACTGCCTGGGGCCCACCACCCGCTGGGTGATGAAGCCCGAATTCGTACTCAGGGTGCCAGGACCTCGCAGCAGAAAAAGTACCAGCCTGGACCCCTCACGGCAAACCACCCCTGACTGCGGCTTCTCATCACAGGAGGTGGCACCGCCACACAACACCTCCTGTGGCCGCCTTCCTCTGTAGGCCGGGATGAGTCAGGAGTGGACCGTGTGCTGTGGCGCAGAGGGGGTGAGTGCGAGGGCCCTGGGGGGCGATCGTGCCTCTACCAGTCAGTACCCCCGCCCGCCCACCAGCCTCCCGTACGCTGGGCATCTCTGTGGGACCTGGAGGCCCGGCAGCCTGTTCTGAAGACCTGCGGTCTGGCCCTGGCACCTCCCTGGTGAGGGCCTAAGGAGGGCAGCCATGCAGCATGGCCCAGCGGGGTCAGGGCCTTCGGGTGCTCCAGCTCTGACTGCTGAAGGAGTTGATTCTCAGCCTGTAAAGGGATTTACAACCTCCCCATAAACCTATTATGGCTCATCCTGTGTCCCCGGGGCCCTGTCATCACGCCAGTGGACTGCTGGTGTCTGGGAAGGCTAGGAGGCCGCGGAGACTGAGCACACCCCGGTGTCTCAGCCCCAGTTCCCCTTCTCTGCCAGCTCCATCATGCCCCAGCCCTCATGCCAACCCCTGCCCACCGGGGCCTGGCTCCCTCCCTGGGGTCTTCCTCTGCCCCTCCAACTATGTCCTCATCCCTTCATCCTTGGTTTGGGCTGTGACACACTGCCCCAGAGAAGGCTAATCCTGGGGATGGCGCGGCAGGATGTTCTGGAGGAACAGAGGAGGAGGAAGCTGACTGCAGAGGAAGGGAA